GTTTTAAGATTTCGTAAGGATCGGAAACATCACTAGTAAACATACTAGGTGTTACGTACCTGTTGAATTCGCGCGGTAGTGCCTTGACTACTGCGAGGAATTGTGCACGTGTGTCGATCACGCCGTGCTCGGAGAAGTCGGCTTCTGCATAGCAAAACCAGGCTTCGATGTTGTCGGGCCAGAAAGGCATCAGTTGAAACGAAGGCGGGGACAAAGTCTTAAGCTTGAGTACTTTAGGTGTCTGTTCAGTCATGACGAAGTATGAAGTACGATAATGAACGAGGGGAAAATATATATATCCAGGAAAAACCACGAAAAAAAATCACAATGTTTAAAAAAATAAAAAAATAAGGCAATGATATATAAAAATCCCAAAAAGGAACAGACTCACAGTTGCAGTTAGGTGTACCAGATCACGTCGGTTTCACCAAGGATGATGTCACAGGTATTCAGTGTTTGACAACGCTTCTACCAGTAACACCTTCTAATATATTTCGTTCCCGCCCAGAGAAATCAAAAGACAGAGTCGAGGAGATTGGAAGAGTATATTTGGCGATGACCAATATATCGGAATTCTCTGATCTAATCTGGCTAGCGATTGCGGTTGATGTTGAGCACGGCGTTACCACACGTGATCTGGTGCGGATGCCTGACCGAGCGCCTTCAGCTAAATGAGTCCACTAAAACATATGGTCAGCATCCAATGTCGAAAACCTAGTGCTATTTATTTTGGGGATTTATTTACCGCTACATCGTTAATTTGCCTAGGTTCTTACCTGAAGGCATTGGTGGTCCATAGCTTCTAGATACAGTAGCTCGTTAAGCTAAGGCTTCTTCTGTTCCATCCAGAAACCTTTGAACCATTTGAAGGTCAGCATTCTTCATCTGAGTTACAATCTATACCGCTGATAATGAAAATCTGACCCGCGGCATTTCGAGGGTACGCCACTTCCTGCAAATGTTTCGAAAGTTAATTTTCGAGCCCAATAAGCTTTTTCAGAATGTAGATTTATTTCATAAAATTTTACAAACCTAAAAATAGGTTAAGTGCGTTCGCACTTTGAAAGTTCATGAATATTCGGCAATGGAGTTGTTAAAAAAGTACGAAATACCTGTTCCAAAGTTTGTAGTTGTTCGGAATGTGGATGAGGTCAGAGCTGCTTGTAAAGAATTCGGTAGGTACATTCAATGCGTAAGATTTTGTTTCTTCACCTTCTGTCACTCAGTAAGTTTAATTTGTTCTGGAAATATCTTAAAGTGTTATTATAGATGTCGTTAGTTAACTGTGATTTTCAAAGACATGTAAACCATAACTCCCCTACTTTAATTTTCGTGACGTTTTTCTCACCTATAAGTCTACATGTTCACGCACTTTAATCACTGAGCAATTTGAAGCTTCTATGTGTTCAAACCAACCACTTTACGAAAATAAAGCTGGTCTCTTATCCCTTGGATACAGCACTTTAGTTAGCCAAACTATTTTGAATATAGAGTGTTAAGGTCACATAAGATCGCATACTACCTCGTTAAGCTAAACAGTTAGGGCTATGTATTCTACTTGTGTTAGTGCAGACAAATTATTGGACACATATTTTTATTTTTAACACGAGAAATTAAAGACAAATAGTCACAATCACGTGCCTTGTCAACTAGGGGTGATGTGTCACTCTTTGTGTACAATGAGTTATTCTATGCCTTTATGAAGGGTATTGGTTGAGACCATCTGTTTGGTTAGACCAAGACTCAATCATCCCATCAAGAGGTTTATTACAAGTTTAATTTACGCCGGTTTATTAATTAAATCCATAAAATACCATTCGGATTACTTATAAAATGTATAGTTGTTGATAAGAAAGGTAGTTTTTTGATATTTAATTAGCGTTGATAACCGATTTCAAATTTACCATCACCATACTCAGGGACGTCATCAGCAAAAACTTGAAAACTGATTTCCCTGAAAAATTAGTGTTGTTGAGGTGACAGGTTGGTTGCTAGGTAACCATAGCAAGTCAGATAATGAGGCAATAAACCTTGATTAACTGAGTTAGATAAGACATGTATTACATGTACCCATCTACTGCTTACCTCGATAGGTGATATGGTCTGGTATTGGAGTAAGCTAGAAGAAATCTAGGGACTCCCAAACCAAAACATGGCACCAGTCCATGACGTCATTGACAGTTAGGATAAGCTGTTAACAGGTGTAGATTACCTGGTTGCGTTCCTTAAGATTGTCGTAACCAATCGTCAAAGACTGGGCGACATGGGTCAGTGGCGTAGGTGCATTCTATCTTTGTCTTGCCCTAAGACCTAAGTCCCGAATTTTCCTTATACCCCTTTTTTCAAGATGGTAATACCAGTTGAATGGTCGTCACTGTGTCCGAATACACGATGCCGAACCTCTGCATCACTAACATGGTAATGCCACTGGATGTCAGTGGTCCTTTAGAGACGACGATGGTCAGACGCAGAGTCATCTAATATTCTCAACTTGGAGAGACTAGAATCCACTAACATATGGCGAAACTGCTCTCATTGACGTGCTGTAGGTTCGATCTTTTACATCCAGACTAGTATCACAAAGGTGTCAAAGATGGGTCAGAGTGGAATAAGCCGCTCCGGCTTTCACTATACGTGAATTGATCTCATCACTCACGCCACCACCGGCACTTACACAGGTACCCAGATACGCAAAATTCTCGACTACTTCTATCTGCTCACTATACAGAATGAGTGCAGGTTTAGAGTCCCCCCAGTTTTGTAGAACTAATCTGCACTTAGAAGGTGAAAAGCACATGCCATTATCTGTAGACACTGATTGCTAACTGACTAAATGCGGATTGCTTGTCTTGAGTATCATCACACAGTAAGATGACGTCACTCGCATACTCAATGTCAAAAAGTATTTTTCCGGGTAAAAGGTCCACACCACAGTTATCTACATCCATCAGAGCTGTTTTCAGAACGTCATCGATGGCAAAGTTGAAGAGGGATGGTGAGATTGGGCAAGCCGATTTCACCTCATTGCCTGAGTAAAACAGTGAAGAGAGGTGGTTGTACGCCCTCATTCTCTCTGAAGTGTTTGTATACAGTACTTTCATGATGTCAATAAACCTATCAGGCACATTCTCGTTCAATGGACTATCCCAGAAAACAATTTTGTCCGACGAATCGAAGACGGACCTGTTTTCAATAAACACTACTATTGTTAGCTTGTAATAAGTATGACGATGTTCTAGCACATAGTAGAGGGTGAAGATATGATCGACACGTCATCAAGCAAAACGAACACCAGCCTGCTCCTCGTGAGTCAATCTTTCCTGAGTTTTGAGCAATCTACGAAATATGACGAAAGCCAATAGTTTGGACGCAATCGGAAGTAGACCTATCTCTCGATAGTTGTTGCACAGGTGATATGAATCCTTTTTAAAGACGGTGACAACTGTCGATTCCTTCTACGATATTGAGACTTTAATCTATCAAACGCACTTTTTGTAGGAGAACACTTGACCGGTGATAGAACTCATCCTTGACCGCATGCTTTCTGTAATCTTTCAGAGCCTAGATGGAGACGACAAAAAGACATAGTTTCTTAAATCGACTTCTCACTCTGATGGAGCTTTCTAATCTAACGGCATGTAACCGAATGTTGATGGAGATCCAATCGATCAGTGCTGTCTCAGATCTAGCGCTTAGTGCGACAGCAACGCCAGCGAAACCAGACGAAGATGTTCCCGGATAAACACACATGTAACAAGCTTTTTGAAGTGACAGATGGAGAGTGAACTTGTAGTGCTTCACTAGAGTCTTGAATACGGGTCTCGGATAAATAACACACATCAATGTTAAGGCTTTCTAAATACAATTAACTTTATCTGTTGTCCCACCCGTATACGTGTGCGATCGTTGAAGAAAGTCAGTTTGAATGGTATGTTTTCAGAAAGGCAGGTTCAGAATTCGTATTGAATAGTAGCATTCAACTTTCGACCATTCATTAACTTGAGGTCTTTTAGATAGGGCACGGTTGTCACGATAGGTGAGCTGTTGTGGAAATTGAAGAATGAAGGAATGTTCAAAGCTGGAGCAAAAGAATAGACAGGTGATGCAATTCAAAATAAAAAACTAGTATTAACAAGTAGTTTTGACTATGATTTGGGGGAGATGAAAATTCAATTGTGGATAGTCTTTTTATTCACCATTTAGTTTGCGTTTGGGGTGGGATACTGCATGGGTGCCCAAAACTGAAGCCGGTGGTCTTCTTAAAGAACCACTCTCCGAGCCTTTGACCTAAAGGTGTCTAGTCCACAAGACCAGTGGTAAGCGTTAGATGCAGTTCTATGATAGCCGTTGATCAACAACAGATTCCTTCAGGATCCTGGAGTACATGTACATTATTGGGTTAGAATCAGGGTTTCCCAACTCCCCCATGTGAATCCTCCGTACCCACCGACCTGGTTAAAGCGCCTGACATTCGCTTTTCATCACGAAGTTTATAGACTTGAAGAGTTATCGGACATAATTCAGAATATAACCCAGTAGGGGCCTGATTTTATTCTCCTTTTTTATAAACAATATTACGTGACATTTACGTTAATAAAATCTAGCCTGTTTTTGTGCTAATGTGAATGACATTCTCCAATACTTTTTATTTATGCTCTTATTATATAGTTTTATTCCTTTTATTTTCCCACAATATTACAATCCGGGTTTATGAAACATATGTCTTGGCATCTTATTGTACTAAACAGTCTCTTAAGCGCTATTAATAGAGTCTTGTTTCTTCGTTATGGTCCATGATGGATGAGATTTCGCACACAGCTTTGATTTAGTTTGTAATGTCCATCATAAATTATGAATTCTGCAGAAAAGTCGACTTTAATTCATGTGTATTACAATTTAAAAACATATCACATCTGCTTGTTTGTCGTCTAATACAAAAATCCTGTTCAGTATTTTCCCCTATTTATCATGTATCCTTTTTTATTCAGGCATTTTACCTGAAAGGGAATTAGAAAATTCAGGTAAGGTTATATTATCCGTTATGGCATTCACATGTTTTCTGTTACTGCTCTGACGGTTTGCTACTTTTTGGCGTAAAATTCCTCCTTTACTTATTATTTCTTTTATGCAGTACGTAACAAGACTTTTTTCTTAAAAGGTGGTGATTTCTGTGTGTTTGTGTGTGTGTATTGAGCGTTTCAGCACTGTCTAATTAATAACAGCTCCAGTAATTTTTTATGACTATTATGTTACGCATTAGTTATGTTTTGACACTTGAATGTAAAACTGGAAGGAACATCATCGGTGTAAATTTTAGTTATACTTGTAGGTAGTTTTATTGATACAACTCAATGTGTATATATGTGAGGACAGTTAGTCTTGGAGAGATGTAGAACTGTCTGCAAAAAAGTATATATATATATATATATATATATATATATATATATATATAAGGAACTATCTAATCTACTTCATGAGAAATATATGATTAGACATTAAAGGCCTTACTAAATGTTTGTGAAATTGAATAGACTAGATCTATGTTAATATGTTGTTAAGCTCATCGTGAATCATTGTTCAAGTGTTTAATCGTTAAATGTCTAACCTGTTAAGTGCTTTGTTCAATTTGAATATTAGGTAGCGTATCTAGTCCTCATACTTATAATTTATCTGAAAAATAAATAATCTCAATCTTGCTATTGAGTCTTATTAAATTGGAAATTTCATTGAAACATAGACAGTACAATGTTCCTTGGAATATCAAGTTTTAAGGAGGCTTTTAATACAATGGCATTGGTAAATTTCACTTGTTAGTCACCAAACAAATTGAGCTATTAATATTTAAATGTTAAGGAATCCCAACTGTTCATCAAATGCAAAATTTCAAAAATTCTGATATTGGATAATACTTGTTACTTCTGAAATAAACTAGATGCGTTAACAAATTCACAAGTAAGTGTCATTGAATGTTGTAAACTTTTCTTCTCAGTAGTTCTTCTCTTAGTTGTTGTGTGCTATATTGTTAATTGATTTTGATATTTAAAAAAAGATTTTCTTCTGTTTTTTTGTACTTCATAGTGCCATCAATTTGTTGCATTTGGTGCATTTCCTTAACGCCCTTAATTTTTTACAAAACATTTTTATTATTAAATAAATAAATAGATGGTTAACTTATGATGCTCTTGAGTATTTTAAGATGTTTATTCGATAAGTTTGTGCATATTTTTTACATCCAATGTAATAACAATTTTTTTTTAAGATAAATCTGCAAATGAACAAGACATTCACGTACACTGTGATCAGTCTGTCTAGATGTGTTTAAATACTCAACATAACAAAATAATAATTCAATAATTAATTTTTTTCCCTTCCTCCCCTTATATCTATATTCAACCATAGGTGAGACTACAGAGAGCACAGATATGGTGTTGAAAGCACAAGTGTTAGCTGGTGGCCGTGGTAAAGGTATTTGGGATAGCGGATTAAAAGGTGGAGTTAAAATTGTATACAAGTGAGTTGGATTGTTTTTCTTTCGAATTGGCGTGTTTGTTTATTTATCTTCAACAAATAGAGCTACCCTTTCATATTACAGCGCTGTGATATGAACTGACCATCTTTCTGTTTTTACCATTTAGTATCAATATCGCGAATAATGTGCACCGTATGAAAACTACACGGATGACATTCATGAAATATGTTCAAGCTACTTTAGGCCAGTGTTTCAAGATGGTGAAACGAATTAAATAGCTATCATCGTGTCTATCCACATAATACCGGACCTCTTAGTGGTTCTTCGGAGGAAACGGTGATCAAACGAAGAGAGTTGTTAATTATTTTCAGCTCAAAGGGACCAAGTTGTTCCACCAACAAAATAAAACTTTGTGCACTGAATACGAGATCTACTATAAACAGACTGATGAGAGGAAAGTGGTACAACCAACTATATTTTATTGGCGAAGAAACTCTGTTTCAAAGTCCAAGTTCATGAGAGAAGGTTGATAATGTACCTTTCGGCTTACATTATTTTAAAACTATAATGAAACAACTAACATTCCTTCCCGATTTTTATTGGTAATTTATTTATTTATGTATTTGAACATATAGATATTGGTACAAGGAGGCACCAAGCAGGTATGTGTCACGTAAATCATTCGATTTATGAGAGAACTGGGATACTACCCGGGTGCCCAAACCGAAGAAAGTGGTCTTCTTACGGGGCCACAACCTGAGCCTTTGACCTAAAGGTCTGATCCACAAGGCAGTGGAGCAACATAAGGAGACGCAGTCCCATCGTAACCGATGATCAACAATTGGTTCATAAGACATTTGTTCCCTCAGGATTCTGGAGCCCATGTGTACCATTGGTTTGGAATCAGGGTTTTCCAACTCCCCTAGGTGTATCCTCCATATCAACCAACCCAGTTAAAGCGTCGGATATTCGTTTTCCATTCTCTCAATTTCGTAAACAATACCCCCGCCACGAGAAAGCAATGGGTAGGACTTCCCTAGCAGTGGTTCTATGCACGTGGCCACTTTAGAGCATCTCGAGAGGGAGGGTGGGCTCTCCCCACCATCGGCTGTACCGGGGCATTTGAGGGCTATTGGTAATTTGATGAGTGTCAGTCTGCAATTGGGATTTATTTCTAGGAAACTATTCACTTGTTTACTTTACTTATCTTTCAACCTATTATCCGTATACATACGTTTCTAAATCGGGCAAATAAAATTGTCATTCATAGTTTCTCAAGGATTTGATATTGAACCCTTCATCTTTCAAGTATTGATAAACTGAATATGATAATCACACATTGTGCAGCAAACTTCATATACGTACACTGGGTGAGAATTCATAAACATATTTGGCTGTTCAAGTAGAATAAGTAGAAATCATACTAACTGTAAAGCCAGCATTATAACCTGTTGGAAAATTTATTATTCCTCAAAAAACTCGATCTAAATCAGCTGTAAGGAAGCTTTTCCAATAGTCATCCCGTTGAATTTTTAAATCGCTCTGGTAGGATTCCCAAAGATTAAGCCTGCCGATAAGGTCTTAAGTGACTGCGGAATGAGTGATCTACAGACTAATTTACCACATTCGCCTATGATATCTTGCATAACAAGTGCGGAAGCCGTTGAATCATGCTCTATGTAACTTGAGCTCTGAATGACTGATTCCCAAGGATACGTTTTTACCTGTATCATCGTCAGTGGTAGCGTTAAATTCTTAGCGGTTGGGGGCTGAGTCATTGGAGGGGGTTAGTAGAAGTTTGATTTAAAAGTATTTTGCGTTGTGTTCATACACTGCACTCGCCAATTTATAATTATTTTCATTTTTCTAGCTAAAAACAGGTTATAAGATTGTCATCCAACCACATTATACTACTCAGTGGAATAAATCATACTAAAAAATAACCACTATCTGTTATTTCATCCATTTCCTTTCTCAAACATCTCTGTAATATCATTTTAAAGAAGAATTATTTATTTCATGTTTGTTAAAGTATATTCAGTGCAATTACTTAGCCTGTATAGTAATGAATTTGATGAACTTCAAGTAATGAATACTTATTCTGATATATAACTAATCCATAAGAATTTTATAAATATTGCCAAGAGACTATCTTTTCAACACAACTGTTATTATGACAAGTGTGTGTAAATTTGTAAACATGACGGTAGGCATTTAAACAACTGTGAACGCTTACCTACTTTTGAGATTGAACATTAGGGTTTGCTTAATTGTAGTTTACAGCTTTTAGACTTAACTTTGCCTGTGATGTATATACTAATCGAATAAACAATAAGTGCTCTTAATTTTTATATACACACTAGTTTTGGCGTTGGATTTACTTCCATACTTATTTGAAGAGGTATTATGATGACTGCTCCATTAAACAAAGAACCTCGAAAAATTAATAATCTTGCTCCAAAACAGTTGGTTCATTTTACAGATTGCAATGGCACAACGAGAGGATAGAGTTGACCCAAAAAGTGGTGTCCGACAAAGCTGTCCACTATCTCCATTTTCGTTCAATTTCATCATAAACCTACTGCTAGATTTAAGTTCTCGTCGTCCGAATTTTCGGAAATTGATCTTCCAGGAGGTCCACATATCGACTTAGAATACGCAGATGATATAGTCCTGTTTGGTGAAGACGCCGACAAAACACAGAGTCTTGATAGCATTGGGCATCAATGCCAGGATGTTTGGGTTGCGTTCCTCCCCCTCAAAATGCAAGTTATTGCTTCAGGACTGGTCTGCGTCAACACCTGAACTAAGGATAAGGAGTGGAGTAGTCGGACGCGCCGACAACTTCACTTATGTTGGGAGTCTGATCAGCTCTGGTGGGTTGGTGTCTGAAAAAATCTGTGCGCAGATCCAAAAAGCTTGTTTGGTTTTTGCCAACTTGTGTCACCTGTGGCGAAGGCGAGATATCCGTCTATTACTTAAGCGCCGAGTGCACTGTGCAGCAGTTCTGTTTTACTTTACGGCTGCGAAACGTGGCCATTAAGGGTAGAAGATACTCGTAAGTTGCTAGTATTTGACCACAGATGTCTTAGAAATATTACCAGCATCTGCTGGAATCACCGGGTAAGTAATATTGAGGTTAGACTCAGGGTATTAGGGAATGATGGTAAATCAGTTGATAAGGTTGTGAATCTTCACCGACTGAGATGGTTGGGCCACGTGTTACATATGCCTGAACACCGATTACCAAAATGCACAATGCTGACTAGTGTTGGGAATCGTTGGAAGAAAGTTAGGGGCGGCCAAACCAAAACGTGGCATCAGTCTTTGAAGTCACTAACTTCTGGTTTGAGCCATGTTGGTAGATGCAGACTACTTGGTCGCGGTCCGCGTGACTATCGTAACCAATGGTTGGAGACTTTTGGTGACATGGCCTATAACCGATCATAATGGCGTAGGTGTACACACTCTATCTTCCTTTAAACGATGAGATTAAAATTGCTTTATATCTTTTTTTCTACCAACTGATTCTTTCTTCCTGTACTATATCCTTATATGCAATTTTTCTTCTATATTTTACCACTATTGAATCAACTACTTCTCTCTGAATTCGGTGTTCATTTTGTTGTGCTAATGAGGTGTGGCAACTTGGATCGATGCATATATGTTCCTGGTCCTACGTAGTAACTGACTGACTGACGAAAAGTTTGATACATTTGCTCTATATACTTCAAGTAATTTGGTCGTACATAGATTTAACATGGGATTTATGGAAACTAATAAAGGTTAATTCAACAAAAGGCCTAATTAACATGAAGTGATAAAGGAAAGGGAAAATTAATGTAAAATGGAAAAAATAGTTTTTCGCACCACTTCATGGTGTAAAGTGGATTAAAGGATTACCAGGGTGAAATCAAAGTTAGACTAAATTATTTTTGTGCACATAAAGAAGTTCTGGGTTTTATAGTGGTCAAAGTTTCTATAAATTTAAGAATTTATACACAGAGCTTTAGGTTCTGTCTTTAGAACAGTGCTATGACCTTTCCTTTAGTTCTTATCAACCCCTTTGTTATATCCGAGCGAAGATTAAATCACGAGTAACTTCTGAGACATATTAATTGACTAATATTGTCTATATATTCTCATGGTATAACTATTTAATAATTGGATTATGTATATTTATATTCCTCATATTATAAGCTTTATTTTGACCTATAATTTATTATTGTACGATTTAATGTTCTTAAGCTGTGTTCAGTTTATTGACTACTGCCTCCCACGTTCAGAGCTACTTTTTGGCTTTATTGTGTATGCATGTTATTTCCTATTTTATGGTGCATTGCGGTCTGTCTGGTTGATATATAAACCCAGTATGTCTGAAATAAAGGATTCGATTCGATTCGCATAGTGGAAGCTGGTATTGGTGTTCCGGACTCAAGTGGACGGGCTAGGCGAACATAGAACTAATAAGGACACTAGGCTGCTCATACGGGTCGAACGTCATTGGTTTGGCACAGTGTGAAGATTGTATAAGTCGTATTTTGATTGGTAGATAAGTCACCTGATAACTACCCGGACATAAAGTCATAACGCCTTTGATAATCGATACGGATTTCACAGGCTCCAGCCCCATTCCACCTACTTAAAACTGAACAGTTACATAATATCCCTAACCTTGATAAAACAAATGCGTCCCGAAGCTAATTTCCTGTTTATATATGTTTGTTGTATCTGTGATGAGAATTAGTTAGCTTAATAGTCTTAAAGTTTATTATCGAAATATTATAACCTAATTTTTTTATGCAATTCGAAAATACCAAGGAAATAGTGCTAAAAAATTTAGTACAACCCAAATGTGACCACCTTGAGTGAATACAAAGTAATTATTTGTCAACGATTTACCCCAATCACTGACTATTGGGAAGACAAAAGCAGTTTGCGAAGAATATATATCTCTGATGAGAAAATAGCATTATTCATGTACATATTTCCTTTTCAATGATTATGAATTATGTTTCAATACTTATAACCCACAACGAATTTCTCATTTAATAAATATCAAAACTGAATGAAATAATTCTCAGACTATACGATAGAATCTTATATATAACTAGTTTATAGATGAGTTGGTCAAAATTCCATAGAACGTTAAAAATAAAAATTACTTTATTGAATTAATTATTAGTTTTTACTTTTAATCATCTCTTATCACGAAATGAACTTAATTATTCAGTTATATTGTTGCATATAATAGGTAGTCAGGTTTCAATTTCAAATTGTTTATTTTTTTTCAATTTCAGTGTAGAAGAAGCCGTAAATGTGGCTAATCACATGCTTGGTCATCGAATCTACACTGCACAAACCGGTGACACCGGCCAATTATGCAATACATTATTAGCATGTGAACGTAAATATTCTCGACGTGAACATTATCTAGCTATTGTCCTAGATCGTTCTAGTGGTGGACCAGTAATGATTGGCTGTCAACAGGGTGGTGTAAATATTGAAGATATAGCACGTGATAACCCAGATGCTTTAATTAAAGTAAATCAGTAGACATTTTTATGGTTTGTACTTTGATTATGTAAATGTTGAATGTGAATAGTAAATAATTCAAATTCCTACTAGTAATAATATAAGTATCATAATTGTTGAACAATTTAGCGGCTATCTGTATTCAAAAGCTCAATAGATAATGAGTTGGGTGTTTGAAGTGAAAAACACCTTGGCTCGAGTTCAAATGTAGATACCAACACTGGGATGTGCCAGGTACATCCTACTGACAAGTCCCAAGTAGGGTTAAACATTCATCTCGAATTCTACTACTGGTCATAATATATCCCTTCTGTAATTGCTCTTGGCAACATATAGACCTAATGACTAGTTGATTTCAACTATAACTATTAATTTTATAGGTAAGTAACAAATTTTAGTTGGCACCAAGGATTAGATAAATATGACATTAGTGTTACTACTTAGTAGTCGGTGAGTATAAAAATCTCAGTCCCACAAGAGGCCAGTCATAACTTGGATTACCCAGTTGTGGTGATGTTTCTGACTGTGATACTGAGTAGCGTGGGTAGCATCAGTTGTCTGTTTAATAGTCTAAATAGTGACATAGGTTTCTGGGAAGAAATTGGAAATCGGTAAATACGATTGTAGATCTTCGACATCTGAGATGTTTGGGACGAGTTACGTATCCCTAACCACTGCCTATCCTAACATGCAATTTCAGGTTCAGTATAAGTTGGAAAGAAGCTAAAGGCGGACAAATTAAAATGTGGTATCAGTCCATGAAGTCATTCACTATTGGTGTAACCTATGTTTCTAGATCCCAACTTCCTGGTTGCAGTAGTTATGATAACAGTGACCAGTGGTTGATGTTGGGTGACATGGGTCAAAATCGATTACATTGGCTCAGGTTCATTTACTCTTCGTTTTCCTATGGATGTCAAGTTGCAGTATTTCTTCATACATACCTTTCGATTTCGTCCTGTCTTACCTTATTCTCAAGGTTTAGTCTTCCCTATTACCACTGGTAACACAGTTCAACTCCTTTGTCATTCATCTTCTTAATTTAATCTCATCATGGTTATATAATGTGACAATTTGAGCTAACCTACTTTTATTGGATACTGTATCTGTTGACGTTGACTAATTAAAAACTGCTTGTTGATCGCTTCCAACCACTTAACATCAAAATATTACAAGTAATACAATTTGCGTAGAATTTCAAAATGATATTATTTATAAGTTTAAGTGACCATGATTTTACTAGGTATCTAATTGAAAATAATTTAGTTTAATATAATTTTCATCTCAAACTGTAACTTAATAACACTATGCAATGGCTTAGTGGTTAATTCATTCAACCTTCAATCATTCGATCGTAGGCTAGAACGTCCCCCTTACCTATTTTGGTGTGACCGATCGGATGGCATCATTAACTCTCACACTTGGAATGTAGCTCATATCTAAGTACTTGATAAATAACTTAGTTTATTATCTACTATTAATATTATGCATGTTTCATAAATTTCAGCATGAACTCAATTCAGTCGAAAGTCATATGTGTGTGTACACTGATGAGTAGTGGTAGCAGTAGTAGTAATAGTAGTCTTAAAATATTAGATAATACAGTTATCCAGTGTTTCATGGTTTTTCTAATACTTCTTTAACTGAATGCAATCCATGATTATTGTCAAAAGTAAACAAATGAAATTTAATAATGCACACACACGCGTGTACACGGTGAAACTACTGAATTCCAAGTTATTTTTTATGAGTATAAACACAGACACACACATACTTTGTAACAGGTTTAGAACAGTGTGCATATTTCTGTTACTACTTTCTGTCCATTATCAACAGATAACGCAATTCGCTTTCTTTCTTCAATCTGATGGATCTATTCCAATTAAATCATATCTACTTGAGTTACATATACAAGAACGAAACACTTTCATCAACGTAACGTCACTGTGATAACTGTACTTTAGTATGATCAGTTATATAGTCGTGCTTTCTTGACTCATCAGTGCATCCACTTACCTTCTAAATAACTTAATTTCCTCCTGTGAATTGTGTATTTGTGCTCCAACGCGTCGGTGGTTCAATGGTAGAATCCTCGCCTCCTACGCGAACGGTCCGGGTTCAGTTCCTGGCCGACGTAGACCGCCCCGCCCCTGAATGCCCTGGTACGGCCGATGGTGGGGAGAGCCCACCCTCCCTCTCGAGATGCTCTAAAGTGGCCACGTGCATAGAACCACTGCCAGGGAAGTCCTACCCACTGCTTTCTCGTGGCGAGGGTATTGTTTACGAAATTGAGAGAATGAAAAACCAATATCCGAATCTTTAACTGGGTTGGTTGATATGGAGGATACACCTAGGGGAGTTGGAAAACCCTGATTCCAAACCAATGGTACACATGGGCTCCAGAATCCTGAGGGAACAAATGTCTTATGAACCAATTGTTGATCATCGGTTACGATGGGACTGCGTCTCCTTATGTTGCTCCACTGCCTTGTGGATCAGACCTTTAGGTCAAAGGCTCAGGTTGTGGCCCCGTAAGAAGACCACTTTCTTCGGTTTGGGCACCCGGATAGTATCCTAGTTCTCTCATAAATCGAATGATTTATGTGGCTCATATCTGTTTTGTGCCTCCTTGTATTAGTGTTTATGTGTTTAAATAAATAAATATATACGGCGTGAACTAATCGAGCGTGTTGTTCATCGCGTTCCTCATGGGAGTTCCGTCATTCTTCGTAAGGTTGGTGGCTAGCAAAATATCGCTACTGATCCAAAAGTCTCCCTTGATGCCGCTTGTAGTGCAGGCGAAATGTCTGTCCGTCAACCAAGGATCGAACGTACTATTTAGCAATCAGATATGTATCATCGTGTGACTTTAAAATATAGTTTGTGAAAGTAGAAAAAATACATTGACTGCATACATTAAATCCTATATATATCTTTAAAACATTGCTCACATTTTGCAAAACTTCGTAGTGAGTGTATTGTATGAAGTCGTTATCGGACATTACTGTAAAATAGTCACAAACTCATTATCATTAAACAGAACTGTTTAATGCACCATCGTTTCCAATAGTTCTGCGACTTTTTATTTGTAACAAATATCTCCAGGATACATTTTAACCAGTATTCAATTACTATTCTTTTTGAAAAAAATTTATTGTACACCTTTTAGATTCCAGTTGATATTAACAAAGGTTTAAATAAAAAAGATGCTTTATTTATGGCGCATAAATTAGGTTTTACAAATCCAGATGAAGCAGCTATATACATTGAACGACTTTATAAACTCTTTGATTCATCCGATTGTACACTGTTAGAAATTAATCCAATTTCTCAAGATATAAATGGAAAAGGTATGTGTTGTTAAGACTTTTCTTTCTTGATTTGAATATTGTTTTGTCACTTTCCTCCTTCCTCTCTCTATCTCCTCGTGCTATGTTTTTTCGAGTTTTTATTGGTCTGTTATTTTATTGAAATCATGAGGCGATTTGCGTTCGACAACTGTTGGGAAGCTGAAATTACTGAATGGCATTTTGTCCTAGTATGGGACTTCCAACAGTGTATATTAACAAACCCGCAATCTTGAATCTGACCCAGAACCTTCGGTCTCGCTCATGAACTATTAACCTCTAGATCACTGAGCCGGGACCCAGTGGTTTACAAGTTTAACTTCAATCAGATATGATGATGACCTTGTGTGAATCCTTAACGAATTTGTATACGTTCAATTTAGAAGACGGTTAGTTAGTTCTCTGAGAAATAATTATTAGAATCGTGTTTACCATGTAGAAGAAGGTGATCATACATAGTGAATGTTCCAATTTTTGATCAATCTCTTGGTATTTGAACTTGGATATAGACCATACTATTGACGGTTCTCTAAGCTTAAGTTGAACATCAATATTAATATCAAAGCCAATCAACTGATGAGCAACAAATAGAGTAAGAGACCTTTCCTATATTTCTCTCCCACTCACTATTCAAAATATATTCTATGTTCTCAGCTAATCTCACGTCTTTGAATGCTTAAAGGAGAATATGAGAAATCAACGTTTAAATGCAAATTTCTTGTCGTATTAACATATGAATATACTTGAAACTGAATTTGAAAAATGTATGTACGTGAAAAAGACGACGGTTATGCCAATAATTCTTCTTTTCTCGCATCTGTATTTTTTTCTTTTATTTCTATGTTTGAACTAGTTGTTTGTATGGATTGTAAAATGAATTTCGATGATAATGCTGCATTTCGACAGAAAGAGATTTTTGCACAACGTGATTGGTCACAAGAAGATGAACGTGATGTAAAAGCATCAAAGGCTGGATTAAATTATATTGGTTTAGATGGAAATATTGGTTGTTTAGGTAAGCTGTGATAATAATCATGATAGATATTTGTTTTACTTACATTTCACTTATTGGAGTGTTGTTATGTATGATCTTAGCTATTGTCACAATGTAATGTTCGGTTTTGCATATCATGATGACTTCATTAAACTATATTAGGCGAGATATTCCTTCCTTTAGATCCTACCATATCAGATAAGTTAGTTAGAGGACAGTAGAGCTGAAAACAACGTACTCATGGTTCGAGGGAGATGTTATATACTTAACTGTACTGTGATGAGAGACGACGGAAAAGTGTTTCCCTTGGACAGCCAGCATTTGTAGCAATTCGATAGGAGGGGATAAGAAAAAGCTAGGCATTAAAAAATCACACTTCAACTTGCCCCATGGATTCTTTTCGCTAACGATAAAACCTTAAAAGTACGAAGCCAATGCATTTATAACTATTCGAAAAAAGTCCATATTTGGTCGACTTCAAGCAGTTATTTATTGGGCTTTATAACCGTTTTCCCAGATTGTCAAGATTACCCCTAACCCAGTTTTATTTTCAGGTACCCCAAGAAGAAATATCTTTCCATGGTATATGTGACCAACCGGGAAATGATACCCACCACCCTCATAGTCCTATTAGTATTGTTAAGTTATACAGTCTATACAAAATTATTATTAAAATCAATACGTAACTTGACCTTTTAATGATTTAATTACTTTTACATAATAATTAATTGCAATTAAGACAAAAATATTAGGAAATAATTACAATTACACATACACTGAACAATAATAAATGAAAATTTAGTTGATTACCATCGTTCATGGATTGATAGAAAAATAAAAAAGCAGACTCATATAAAAGTTAGACCGAGTAAATATTTAAAGTACAATTTTGGTTGGCTAAATTTTCAATTATTGGGCACAATTAACAAGCTGATGTCAACACTGTTTAGAGCTGTGTAAATCAGTTTATTATTATTATTATTATTATTATTATTATTTAAAAAATAGTCTGATTATCCCGCTGTCGATATTTTTGATTAAATTTTGCTCACAAGTGAATGGTTATGCGGATTTAGTAGTTCAGTGGATAGCGCGATGAGCGTTTGAAATGAAAGGTGTACTGGGTTCGAATTTCAGTATAAAGTATTGTAGATCACCAGCGTGGATTATCTATGTCGAATGATTGGAGGTCAACTCGAGTTAGACGGAAATGATGTGACGAACCAGATAACTTCGAAGTCACACCTCACGGTCAACATCTAACGTGGGTTACCCCTTCGACGTGTCAAGGTACTATGGCTGCTTTGAATACCGTATAACACAAAGAACATTATTATGCAAATGTATTGGTAAGAATGAGTACAGAAAAAATAGCGAGACCACCACCGCATGCGCCAGTCCATAGCATACGATTAACTGATGCGCGTTGGTTGTTCTTGTCGAGAGTCGATTTGTTCGATATTCAGTGACACAACTGCTGAATGATTTAGCTAAGGCTCGGTGATATAACACTGGCTATACAGTATCAACTCTGTGATGTAAAAGGTACATCTAACCGACAAGTCTTAGGTAGGACAAAATGCTCATCTTAGATTTCACTAATGACCACAATCCATCTATTCTATAAAAAATCGAGACTATAGTTCTGAAGAATGCCTGATCAGAAGATAATCGGTTGGTCATCGTCAACATAGCCTGACACAGATGCGCGTTGACAACACTGAATAGTGAGTCTGTGGAGCAGCGATTTATTGGTTAAGGTATTTGAATTTCGGCTACTAAGTTTAAAGTGCGAACATTGTCCTACCTACTTCGGTTTTGGGAATCGAGTAGTATCATTAACCCTCCCACTTAGAATATAACTTATGATCCAAGGTGTTCGCTCTATGATTATTGAACTCCTTGTAAATTCCCTACTGCCTCTTGTTTTTCAACAGACGTCCATTTATTATAATAATAATAATTATTATATATATATATATATATATATATATATATATATATATATATATATATATATATACTGGACACTTTCTTCTACATACTACGAATGACGGTAGAAATCCCAGTAAATTTTATAATAGCATTATGAATTATATCAAATGAGTTGAGTTTCAAGGGATAATGATGATCCAATAACGAATGAATGTCTATTGTAATATCACATTGTAAGCTCAAAACATCGATACAACATAAGAAACTGTTCGCTAAATGAATTAAAATACACCACAATCCATATGTATAGATTTTTTGTTTTTTTTGTACGCATCCTTCGATTTTTTTATTTTGTACCAAGGTTGTCGTCACGTGTCTAGATTCTTCTTTTTCTAAATGAAACAAATCGATATCACCCTAAATTTGACCTTTTTTTCTGAATTCTAACAAATCGTTAGTTTTCATTATTTCACATCATTGATGGACTTTAACTGTATATAAGCATTTGGAAACTAGATAACCTTGATCGGCTAACTATGCCATCTTAATATAGCACTCATCAATAATGCACTTCGATGACTCCACCCTGTGTTGAACCCAGTTTGTTCAGTCCTCGCGGTTGTCTCTTTTCTTTCACATCACTAAACTGGTAACATCCAATGATTTATATTTCTAACTCGAGTCAATTCACAATATTACTCATCCATTACCCAGTGCTGTTTGTTAGTACACTCTCGCACATCCGACAGGGCTGAACTCCTCTAGTCACTGAATTACCTTTTGAAAGTAGTCACTAGTGCGAGTATATAATCATTGTCAGTGAACAGGGCGTTATGTGGAGATTATCCAAATTGGTAGATTACATCATGCACCGACCTCAGATAACCATAGAAAACAAGATGGTAACACTAGACAGTCAGGTGGTTCGTCTCAGTATATGATATCTCCTTGTGGTACGCATTGACGAATCTATCAGTTATGGAGACCCGAAATTTTATTGTTTCCTTTTTAATTCGATATATATATATATATATATATATATATATATATATATATCGTGATTCTACCATCATTCTGATTATATTTTCATTTTGATACTCCAATAAATCTTTTCAGTTAACGGAGCTGGTTTAGCTATGGCTACTATGGATTTAATTCAATTGCATGGTGGTAATCCAGCGAATTTTCTTGATATTGGCGGTGGAGCGACAGCTGCTCAAGTGACTGAAGCTTTTCGTTTAATCGTATCTGATTCGAAGGTCAATGCTATACTAGTAAATATTTTCGGTGGTATTATGCGTTGTGATGTGATTGCACAAGGTATTGTAACAGCTGCTACAGAATTAAACATAAAAGTACCAATTGTTGTACGACTTCAAGGTTGGTGATTTATTATTATTATTATTTATTATTTATTTATTTATTATTATTATTATTATTATTATTGGCATACCATATATTCTGAAGGTAAGGCGATTTCGCGCAAATTTTTCAAGTTTATTTTTCATCATAAACTCATCAGTTAGTTGGTGAATTAGAGGTTTCTGGGTCCGAGTCCCGCGTGCGGAATCGTGAATGAGCACTGCTGAGGAGTCACATACTATGATGAAACGATCGTCCAGTGCTTCGAGGTTTTCAGTGGTAGTCCAATATTGATCGGTTCACGATCTCAATATTTATCATTTTGCTGCATTGTAATATAGAATTGCAGTGGTTTGTCTTGATTAAAACACTCGTCTCTCAACCCATTTCATTGGTTGTATGTGCGAAATTCTTTCCGTCTATTATTTTAATTTCATTAACTGGATAGTACTCAGTCAGCCATAAGCAACACAAGACTTGAGAGAGATGCATATCAGTTCAAGTTGTAACACCATAATAGTACAGTAAGATTTCCAGATTTATGGAAGTGGTGGTAATTAAAAAAATTTAAGCATATTCAATATAATCCAAGAGGAAAAAATAAATTCTAGGAATAATAAAGTGCACGATTATTTTCTAAAATCTCAAGATCTTAGTAAAGACAAAGAGTGAATGCATCTGCGCCATTATGACTGATTTCAAGTGATATAACTCAACGTTTCCACCAACCATTGGATAGTACCAATTGTTAAAGAAATAAAAATAAATATGTTCCTTCATACTCCAAATACACAAAATTATGTACTTGGTTACTAAGGTGTATTTGATTTTTAATTAGTACTGAGTTTGTTTTCTCTACATTTAGGTACATATATTTATTTTCACCTAATTCCACAATGTATCACTTATGTACTCTACACATTTTTTATGCATTAATTCTACATAGAATACTGTATACAGATGTTGTTATTCTTAACAAGAAATATAATCTCTTATAATTTCAAGACAGTTTAATAAAACATAGTCATAGTATAATGAATGACTGTTGGTGGAAAAGATTTGTAGCTCAGACGGATGATTTTATTGGAGTTTTGTCCTCTGAAATGGATGATTTGAACGTGGAGCTTTCATTGTTCTTATAAACAGCATCATCAGCTCAAACTTTTCTCATCATAGATAAACATAGGACCAAGAATCAGATCAAAAGGAAATACAATCGATAATAAAGGGGTAAATAATGACAGGTTAAAGTTCAAAAATAAACAATGACGATCTAGGTCTACAGGACAAGTTGGGAGTGATATGTGAAGAAATTCGAAAATTTCACTTCTACTTGAAGTTTGTACTGATGATGTCGTTCAGAAAAACAATGAACAGCTCTACAACCAAACCATCCAGCTCAGAGAATTAAACTCCACTAAACCGAATCATGAAATTAATGGTATCTTGATATTGTTTTACTAGGTAACCTTTTATAAAAAATTTTTTTGTGTGATTAGTTTAAAAACGGTTTGTGAAAATTGTCAAATTTCACTGACTCATTGTAATCGAACAACCGTTAATACTCATGAAACACTAAACAACTGTTTTATCCTAGTTTGGGACTCTTCATTTACAATGCACATCTACCACGGATCGAATGAAAGACTTTCAAGTCTCAAAGTGATCGTTTAACGTCTAGATTAATTAACCGGTACCTAATAGTGTTTCTATACCTATCTTCAATCAATTCACAATATTTTAGAACCATTTTTCAATGGTCATTTATATTGGATGATTGGCTTATCATCCAATATAATTGAACTTCATCAGTTATAGCTTCTTACTAGAACTCAAGGAATAATCAACTTTTGAAATCAATGATTAGTGAGCATATGATTTCTATGTAAGTATGTATTATGCTAGTCATCTCGAGTTATTTTTTTTATCAAATGAAAGTAATTATTTTTCAAAAAATACCCCTTAATACATTTTAATTAGTACTATTTATACTATTATTGTTTTCTTTTCATTTTCACAATATATTTTCCCATAAAACTAACAAACAAACAAAAACCAATCACTATTAATAACATCAATCAATAAATAAAAATACTAAGGGACTAGAGTTGAAGACGCTAAAGCAATTCTTGCTACAAGTCACATGAAAATTCTAGGTTGTAGTGATTTAGATGAAGCTGCTCAAATGGTATGTTTCATTTCAGAATTTCGTTGTGCTTTCCTTTATTATTATTATTATTATTATTATTATTATTATTCATACATAGCTGGTATTTCTATTGTTAGTTGAATAAAAGTTTAATGTTTGGGATGAACTGGTTGGTTAGTTTGTTCTCTTAAAAAATGTTCACATAAATTGGAAACTCTTCATCTCATTCAATAAGTAGAAAGTTTATGATTATGCAAAAGTGTATTACTAGATTTCCAAATCTTAATTTCATAGAAATCTCTCTCTCTACGTACCTGGCTTGTCGTATGCCCTGATGGTGTTCTCGTCACTTTCGGGTTGCCTGATCTACCAAGGGCGATGGGATACTGCATGATACTATTGTTGTGTGCTAGGTTCGAAGAGAATTGTATGCTATATGCATGCAAATCTACCCCGTTATTGTTCCTATCTCTTTACGTAACCTCATCAGTCTGTGTGTGTAGTTCGAATTTATCCACATGCACTAAATGTTTCTTTCTAAATCTTTCTCATAAGTCATAAATAGTTTTAGTTTGAAAATTTATCATCTCATTTTTCAAATTCTTTGTTCATACATTCGCTGAACAATTATAAAGATGAAACGATAAGCGAAGAGCTAGCATGGAGACGATTTGCAGCTCAGGTGGATGATCGTGGTGCTGGTTTGAGTGAGACTATAATTTATGGACGACCTTTGAGCGAATCTTAAGTGACCTTGAGGAATGTTAGCCAATCAGCAAACAGTCAGTATAGAGTAAAAATATATTCTACAAAACCAAAGAAATAAAGCGGATACACTTCTTATACGTGGTTCAAAAACTTATCAAAGTTAGAAAGAGGTTCAGAGGTTCTAAAATCTTAATGCATGCAGTAGAAGAAATCATCAATATGGCTGCAGAATAGTTGGCCTCTGGAGCCATGATAAGGTCGCAAAAACTCTTTCAGACTCGACTACATAGCTTCAATATTGTTTGTGTGCACTCCTGTTGTTAGTCGCAAAAATGCCACTTATGGATAACTACACGATGCACATAACTAAGTCTATGTAGGAGTCTATACGCTCTCCACACATCCGCATATAGTGCAGTACCTCGCTGCAGCTAGTGTTACTGGTGCTTTTATTATCCAGTTCGCAATAATTGTCATAATTTGTCTTAGTTAAGAATTGTATATGGGGTTTTCATCGCGAACTGACATCAGCTATAACGCCAAAACTCTATTTAGCCAAATGGATGAAAGGCTTTCGCGCCAAAATCCGAGACCTGTTATCTTATACCTGATTGATTCGTCCACAAATTATATTCTCGCCGTTTTATTTGTTATAGCCGCTCAATTATCACGTTTTGTACCAAATTCCCTGTGAACCGATCGTACGTTAGCATTAAGCACTGAAGTTGGCGCAGTGACCTTGAAATCTCTCAGACGCTTCTGATTGGCTCGTCCATAAATTAGAGACTCGCCACTCTAAATAGAAATAATGTGTTCGAATGGAAGGTACAATCAAAATAACGGAGTAAACAATGACAGGTTAGTGGTCAACAATATCCAATCAAGATCGAGATCTACAGGACAAGCCGCGAGTCATATGTAGAGAAATTCGAACACTTCACTTGTACTTGAGGTTTGTGCTGATGATGTCGTTCAGAAGAACGACGAAAGCTCCACAACCAAACCATCCAGCTTAGAGAACAAAACTCCACCAAGAAGTACTAGCGTTATTACACAAGTATTGATAAGATGAAGTTATGCGTAGGAATCGTTCTCGATTATTCAATGTGTCACTACTGATAAAATGTTCTCTTCAGTTTACCAGTGCTTGTAGTCATTAACTTCTAGTCTGAGCCACGTTGGTAAATGCAAACTACTTGGTTGGAGTTCACGTGACTATCGTAACCAATGGTTGGAGGCTCTTGGTGACATGGCTCAGAATCGATCATAATGGCGTCAGTGTATACACTCTCTGACTTCCCTTAAACTAAGAGATTAAAACCACTTCATATCTTTCTTCCTAAGAACTAATTCTTTCTTCCTGTACTATATCCTTATATGCAATTTTTCTTTTATATATTACCGCCACTGAATTAACTACTTTTATGAATCCGGTGTTCATCTTGTTGTGTTAATGAGGTATAGCAACTTGGACCGATGCATATATGTGCCTGGTCCTACGTTGTAGCTGACTGACTGAACACCGATTGATTCACATGTTATATTAAATTCAAATAGAAAAGAAAGTAAACAGTTGGCATGTTTAAGATTGTCACTTTTTGTTTTATTCTATAATATAACAGAAAGAATTCTTCTTAACAATTTTAGGTATTCTAAGCATTATCTAAAAAGGTTTATTTTGATCAGATATTTTATATTTTGGAGGATAAAACTAGTAATAGTAAAGTATATGGATGAATTTAAAATAAGCGACCGTTTAAGCCAATCAGATAAAAGCTTTTACAAAGAAATAACTTTTACAGAGAAGAAAAAACACATTAATATCTCAAGGTGTAAACAGATTTCATATAATTCATGAATGGTTTAAGATTATATAATGGTTTTTCCGTCTGTAACCCGAGAAAACGACTTCATACAAATTGGCCCAAATGCATACGAACATCCGTATTCGCGAACTGCTATAAGGAGTCAAGAAGATTTTCACGAATCCCCAGATCATTTCGGATTACAGTTAAGATTAAAGGTTTAGGGTCAAAATTTCGGAACAGTTTATTTACATGTTATATGCATTCTACATAGGAAAGATTGAGCACCTGATACGTTTAACACTATTATTTCTACCTTATGGTGGAAATACTTAATTTTCGTCATCACTTTAACGTTCTGAACTCTACATAAAGGTATTTCTACTACTAGTCTTACGTCATGTAAAGTGGAAGTCATTCATTTTTGAATTTCGCATAAATACTTAAGTCTTTTCCTCAATTCAGATTGGATTGTTTATTATTCCCAATAACTAAAACAGGTGACCAATCAAGTTCCATCACTTTGACTCAAGTCTAATCTCGAGATGACTTTATCTTTGCTTCAATACCAAATCGATAAATAATTTATAATCTTTTTTTATTTACATAGACATCAATTTCAATTTGTTTATGTTATCCCATCCCTCATTTGTTCGCCCATATTTGACCGTTAATGTTTGCACCTTATGTCGTGCACTGAATTGAAAGTTTGCTTATATCTTTATAGAATAATGTCATTTTGTTTACCAAGTGCATTAGCTTATGTAGACGGAACTTTGTGTCATAATCTAGTTATTTTAAGAGTTAATGATACACTACCTCTCGATCACTGAAAACGACAAAGTACATCAGGACGGGATTTAAACCTGTGATCTTGTTGACTAAAAGTCGAGAATATCCCAAACTACCAAGCCACCTTTTTACATTCATAGAACGATTCACTGATAGTCCAATTTCAACTATCCAACTTAATTAGCACTATGTACTCCATCGTTTCAGGGAACCATCAATATTATTACACTGTCATGCATATAATCTGTAAATGTTAGCAATTTATTTATTTAGAATTCAAATTACTATCACATTGTTTACCCTCACGTTTTTTTTCGGAGAAATAAACTATTATTGTGTTATGTAACTTCGCTTATTGCCTTTATTTTTTATTTTTTTAATTTCTCAGTCTGTTAAACTCGCTAATATTGTTCATTTGGCTCGTGAAGCTGCTATAAATGTGAAATTCGAACTGCCTTATTAATTAATAATGTGATTATAGTAATATTATTACAATAAGCAAAGATGAATAGTTCGAATGAATGGGGACATCACGTTATATTGAATGGTGATGAATCCAGTAGTTCGGTTTATACTATTATTATTATCGTTATTATTATTATTATTATTATTATTATTATTATTACTATTATAACTTACTTCCGAAAGATAGCAGTCATTGTGTGGTCTATTCAATTCTGTTTTGTCATATCCTTTTGTACGAATGAATGTACAATGACGGTAATGGGGTTATTGTTTTATACGACAGATTTAAATATCTACTGCATTACGTAATACATTGATTTTGTTGCATAAGAATTTCTCATACTTTGATAGAAAATCCTTAACTAAACAATCACTTATTATCATTGTATTTTGGTTGCAGTCAGCTCAACGACACCAACCACATCACCCCTCCACACACACAGATTATTTTACGTTGAAAACAGAGAGTATACAAAACTTCATTTTCAAAGTATAAAAATGTTAGTATACCTACCATACAACTATTTTGCCAGAAGAAAAAGATGAATTCAAATCTTTATTTCACTTGAAATATCGTTTATCTCTATTGTTTTTCTTATCTTTCATCGTTATTCACTATTAGTTACATATACTACTATTTGTTGTCCTGTGATAGTAGTAATAAATGGTATTGCTCGGAGATAATTCATGTTTGAATTTCTTTTCATTTCTTTGTATTCGTTTATACACCTACAATCAAGTGTGTATATATCCGCGTACAGAGGGAAGTGGTTACTTCAGTTTTCTTTTTCCTCTTACTCTTTCATTTGCACACCGTCCAGATTCATCCCCACAGGGACACTGTCATCCATATTTCAACTGTTGACTTTTCGAAGGTTTTGATGAATTTTTAAGAAAGACCATGTAACATTATTTGATAGTCCGTCTTCAAACATCTTTAAGAATATTAGCTAGATGAATATATTAGCAGGGATATGAGGATCAAATATATTTCTTTCAGATCTCCTTTCATTTAATCATCCCGGTTTACATGAATAACATATACTCGCTAAGGTTTTGAACGTCAATTGACAGTATGTCAAAAACAAACCGTAATAAAGTTAATTCATCCAATGAGTTTGACAAACCGGGAAGCCTAGAAAGGTACGGCGTAATTTCGCTATTTGATATAACGATCAATAAGTGTGATAGATCTCTATTTCATTTACTGACAAGTGGCCTACAAGAATTATATCTTACAACTAAATTTTTTAAATCATGTTTATTCATGTGCAATGTTTTACTAGTAAGGAATAACCAGTCACTAATTAGTTCAATTTCTTAATATTCGTTCCTTGAGGGGAGCTTTGCGTCAATAATTCAGTTTTTATGAATAGCTATCAGTTATCCACATTTCATTAGGAGGCCTCAATAATTCTTTGAAAAGGTTTTCAGAACATAGGAGAACACTCCGGCTAATCAGTGTTTTTTGGAAACTTTCAAGAGAATTCTATGGAAACGACAGTCTGTGTTGTAATTATCCTATCGGGCAGTAGGCGATCTTGTTACCAATTTTAGTGTATTTTTCAGACGCTCAACGTCACATTTAGTCAAATAATTACCTAGATCTTCTGTGCATGAACTAACCTTGGAAGTAAAGCTTCATCTACCACTTCCTTTTGCTTTTTTTGTTCAGGATTCGAGAATACAAAATATCTGGGGGCTAGAAAGCCGGTAGGAAGTCAATGTCTAAGCTTTCGGTTACTTGACGTATCACACTTAATTATCAAATTAAGCGATCGATCGCACATTCGTACACAAATACTAGTGTTATTTGCAATCATACCCAACGTAGAACCCTAGCTCAAGTTCCCACACCACATCAGCACATTGAGACGTCCGACTAAAAGTAGTACTTGTATTAGTGGTATTAGCAAAAACTAGGTATCAGTAATATTATTCTAGAAAAAAAATATGAATTCGTGGAGTAGAAAGAGTATCAGATGAAATATTGAAGTTCGTGGATGCTTCTGAGCCATTTCACCCAATATATGTAACCATTGATTTTGTGATATTCGTGCGGACCCTAACTAGGTAATATCCATTCACTATTGACACGGTTCAAATGAACGCTAACTGATTTCATAAACTAATATCACGTCTTAGTACATACATATTGCTAACAAAAACTGATTGAGGTTCAGTCGCTAACATCAACAACAAGATAAATTACGCCCTTACTATCAATATCTTTGAAAAAAAAGATTCCTGAAGTTATTACATGAATCATAACCATTAGCAGACACAATAACATTGACATAAAATCAACCAAATGATGAAAAATAGAAGTTGACAAGTAAAGCAAACAGGTAGATGAAATGTGTAAAAATCCTAGGAAAAAAGAAGAACAAAGCACACTTAGGTTAATGCTTCTGTGTACAGCCGAACCGATTACGATTGAAAAAGCAACTTAGAGGTTATGGTGCATAGAACCAGGATACTGACCGTGGATTGTTTCAACATGAGACTATTTGTGTCGCCTCTGAATGGTAACGTAATATAAACTCGCTTTCTGGGTGCCAGAAGCGTCATAGGTCTAGTCGTATTGCAATCCTTTCAGCGGTTTATGAACTTCAAAGAATAACCATTATTCATTAACGTATCAGTCAAGAGCTTCGTCTCTACTTAAATTAGCTATCAACTGGACATTTTATGTAGCCCAACTTGTCATTATCAAAAAGACAAGGTCTATGTTTCACCAAACAGCACGAAAACGATTGTGTCACATCCCGCTGCGTCTATCATTTTACATGTATGTGTGGAAACACGTACATAGGGAGGCGCAATCGTGATTTGCAATTAAGGGTGGATGAACATATACCAAAATGGTTGCAGAATCAGATGAATTCCAATGGTCGAATAAGATCACAGGATAGACAGACATCATCCTCCATTGCGAAACGTTTGATTGAGACGGGTCATAAGGTTGACATCAAATCAGCATTTATAGTGTTATACAAAAGCTTTCAAGGATGTATACTAAGGTTTATCGAAGCCTTGGTTATACGGAAATCGATACCCCATTTATGTGTTCAAAAACAATTTGTTCTTACACTTAACCTACTCTTGTAATACTGATTTATTATCCAGAGTGGTAATCACTTTTGTTTTTGTGTACTTTTTTTCTATGTTACGGCTTACCTTTAATCTAGATATCCGTCTATCAACCAAAGGATGTGTTTACTGCGCAGCAGTTGGTCCCGTCCTACTTTATGGCAGTGAAACATGGCCGGTAAGAGTAGAGGATATTCGTAGGTTACTAGTATTCGATCATAGGTGTCTTCGAAACATTGCTCGTATATCCTGGGACCATCGAGTAAGTAATGCAGTTGTTAGGAAACGGGTACTAGGTAAGGATGGCAAATCAATTGATGACGTAGTGAAGCTTCATCAGTTGAGATGGCTGGGACACGTGTTACGTATGCCCAACGACCGACTACCTCGACGTGCAATGTTCAGTGGTATAGGAATAGGTTGGAAGAAAGCTAGGGGCGGCCAGACCAAAACATGGCACAAGTCCATGAAGTCACTGACAAGTGAACTGAGTCATGTTGGTAGGTGTAGACTACCTGGTTATAAAGCGCGAGATGATAACAACCGATGGTTAGAGACCCTGAATGACATGGCTCAAAATCGTTTGCAATGGCGCATGTGCATCTACTCTTTGTGTTCTCCCAAATTCTAATCTGAATTCTTCATGTCCCTTTTTTCCTCTTTCCAAATTTATTTCACTGGATTATACTCTTTAAATAACATCTCCGAACCCTAATCTTCCCTACTACTGCTTATACTCTTGCTACCTCTACCACTACGGGATTTGAATCGACCACTGGATCTGTGTGCTAAGGTGGTGTGGCAACTCGAACTGATGTACATACGTACGAAGTTCTACGTTGTTACTGACTGACTGACCTTTAATCTGTGTGGTGGACCTCTTAATTTTCATAGAACAAATGTCTTAACAAGTATATGTGTGATCAGACTGTTCGAAATGTATTGCGCAAATAGAAACTTCGTCTTCTTATTGCATTATCGAAATTTATCAATGGGACTAATTGTTTTAAATATTATGTAATCGTTATCATTGGTTCATAAACTACCATGATTGGTTTAATAATTTATATATCGGTAATAATTAAATAGAAGTGCAAAACAAAAAAACAAAACAGAAATATACCCATTAAGGGAATTACTATTTTGCACTTTAAACTCTAATTTCATATATGCATATCAATATTACTGTATATTAGAGTAAAGCCTGATGAAGATCTAATCGAAAACAATATTGTTCACTTATGTCTATGTTGTTCTAAAATGTAATTGTCTCTTTCATCTTTATTCACCATTTGAACGAAGAATATTCTTTTCGATAAATTCTCTTCAGGTTCTACAATTCATATATCCAAATTAATAATCCGAAAAAATGGCCAGGTTACAGGTAAAGTACACCCGTTTAAACCATATGAATTTTCAAACTAAATAGAATAAAATTGTTAGTGTTGGTATGACTCATATAGAATGTTAACTTGAATCTGTATATATGTTAAGTAAAAATTAAAGATCCATGATCAGAATAAATATGGGTCAAATAGGGTGAGAGAGAAATAATAGTGCAATTACAAGTCGATCAAATATTTAGTGAAAGATTATATTGTGTAAAAAAATTATTAATAATGTGGGATGAATGAGAAATAAATGAATCATGTATTGGGGAGATTAATAATAATGTTTGTGAATGAAGATAAAAGAGACAATTACATTTGACTACGAAAGGTCGTAAGTACAGTAGTCAAATTAGGTCATTCAATAGCTAAGATTAGTATTGATTAATGTGCCTTGAGGTTAGCCAGGGTAGGAGGAGGATGAGTGGTTGAAGATATTTCTTTTGTCTGGATAGCTCCGGTTTCTTCATCTAGATGGTTACTTCTGCAGCCATTTGAAGGACTTTGTGTCTGACCAACTTTAGCGAAAAATTACTAACCATATAAATAATTGAAATGGCATCGATGACCAGTTTGTACTAAATGGCCCAATATCGAGCTGTTCATTTTCTTCACCAGACCTTTTCTTAGCCACACTGGGAGGTGTTCCGGAGCACGAAGATGTAAATTTTTAGAACTTCGACCAATATAACTTGCTCCACAGGAGCAGTCTAACTGACAAATGAGATGGTCATTCTATATAATTCATCTTCTAGCCTCGGTGTCACCGTTGGGCGCGTAGAAAACACCAATCGTAGTTCTCCGGAATTGAAGGATTTTCGTATTTTCTTGCATAATCTCTGAGTTAACATGGTTAGACTTCAATTTATGGACGACCTTTAAGCGACGCTAAAGTAACCTTGAGAGCGTTCATCTAATAACTAGAACCAAATGAGTGTTATAAACCAGCGTGAAAAATCATAATTATGATTCACAGTTGATGGTTAAGGTTAGAATTTAGATTTAGAGTTTTCATCACGAAGTGACATCACCTATAATGCCAAAACTCTATTTAGCCAAGTGGATGAGTGACTTTCGCGCCAAAACCCGAGACCTGTTATCTTATACGTGGTTGGTTCGTCCATAAATTATAGTCTCGCCGTTAATATTTCACTAGCCACACCCCCCTCTAAATTTTAGACGCATGAACTGGGATTTCTTA